TGTCATAATTTATTTTATTTTATTTATTTATCTATTTATTTTTTGAGACAGGGTCTCACTATGTAGTTGAGACTGACCTGGAACTCACTATGTAGCCCAGGCTGGTCTCAGACTCACAGCGATCCTCCTGCCTCAACCTCCCGGAGTGCTGGGATTACAGGCGTGTGCTACCACACCCGGCTTTTCTTTTTATTTTAAAAGGATTAGAGATTTAATTTTTTTGTGGGGGGTACCGGGGATGGAACTCAGGGACCTTGCATTTGTGAGGCAGGCAGTGGCACCACTGAGCTAAATCCCTGGCCCCAAAATTTAATAATTAAAAAAAACAATTTTAGCTAAAAATTTTAAAAACGCTTGTTGATGTCTATACATTTATCACAGTTTCTCCTAATGAACATAGTGGTTGAGTCACCAGTATAGTTGGAAACTGTCACGAGGGGTCAGCAATTGGAGCCTCCTTCTATATCTAGCTTTGTTATAATGGTCTTGATTATATATATGTATTTTAAGTTTTCTTCTTTGTTATGTTTTGTTTTTGTACTGGGGATTGAACTTGTGACCTTGCACTTGCGAGGTAGGCAGCGGAACCACTGAACTAAATCCCTGGCCCTTATGCCTTTTGATGATACTTTTTTACCAGGTGTTCAAGACCAAGTTAAGGCAAGACCCACACTAGTAAGAATTAACCTTTTGTCTTCTATCGAGGCCAGTTAAGTCTCCACGGGCATCACTTTGAACCTTGTATAAAGCTTTTCAGATCCTGTCACTGTCAGCCATTGCTGTGTCATGGCCTTGCCTGACCATGCTGCTTTCTGTGAAAGGATGGGAGATTTTTCCCTACAAGTGACACTTCTTCAGCGCACTATTAAGAGAAGTGGTTTTGTTTGTTTGTTTGTTTGGTACGGGGGATCGAACTCAGGACCTTGCACTTTCGACGCAGGCAGCAGAACCACTGAGCTAAATCCCAGGTCTCTGTAGCACACTCTGGTTTCTTATCTTTTTTGGTAGCCAACAATCTCCCTGCTCACGAGGTTGGGTGACTTACCGAAGTTGTAGGATCTTGTAGAAGAGGGTTTTTTTGGTCTTTTTTCTTTCTCTCTTCATTTTTGGTAATGGGAATCAAACTCAGGGCCTCGCACTTGCCAGGCAGGTGCTGCACAGCTGAGCTACATCCCTGGCCTCAGAAGAGTGTTTACAGTCCTCTGAAGGATTTACTACGCAGACAGACATATTATATATGAAGAAGGAAGGGGTAGGTGAGTGGTACTGCACTGCTGTAGGCTCTGTATTTCATATGAGCTGTATAATATTAATACTCCACTTGCAACAGGTTAAAGATATGTATTGTGATCCCTTTAACAACCATTAAAAATAATAGGTATAGTTTATAGGCCAATAGAAAATTTAAAACAAATAAAACCCAACTAACTGAACAGAAAGTAGGAAAAGAAAAACAAAAGTACTTGAAATTGAACCCAAACATATCAATAATTACATTAAATGTAAAGGGACTAAACACACTGAGTAAAAACCAGAGATCATGAATTAGATAAAAAGCAAGACTTGCCGGGAATGGTGGCACACACCTGTAATCCCAGCATTTGGGAGGCTGAGGCAGGAGGATCGCTGTGAGTTTGAGACCAACCTGGGCTACATAGTGAGTTCCAGGTCAGTCTCAACTACATAGTGAGACCCTGTCTCAAAAAGCAAAAGCAAAAAAAAAAAAAAAAAGCAAGACTCAACAATGTTTTTGAAGCTGGGGATTTAGCTCAGTGGTTCTGCTGCCTGCCTTGCAAGCACAAGGACCAGAGTTCAATCTCCAGTACCAAAAAAAAAAAAAAAAAAAAAAAAACCCCTCAGTAAACAATGTTTTTGATGAGATGGTCTCAAATACGAAAACATAAATTAGTTTAAATTAAACAGCCAGTTGTGGTGGCACGTTCCACCAGCTTCTCTGGAAGCTGAGACAGGTGGGTGACAAGTTCAAAGCCAGCCTGCATAATTAGAAAGATTTGGTCTCAAAATAAAATTTAAAAGGGCTGGGGTGTAGCTCAGTGCTAGAATGCTTGCCTAGCATGCATGAAGCCCTGGGTTCAACCTCTAGCACTCCCTAAAATATATGAAAAAAAGATATACTATGTAAATAGTAAGCACAAAATTTTTATTTGGCTTTGATGTTTGCATTTTGTTTACCTATTCAGTGATATTTACCTGTTTCAAAACAATGGTTTATAAACTGGGCGTGGTGGCGCACACCTGTAATCCCAGCATTTGGGAGGCTGAGGCGGGAGGATCACTGTGAGTTCGAGACCAGTCTGGGTTACACAGTGAGTTCCAGATCAGCCTCAACTACATACATAGTGAGACTCTGTCTCAAAAAACCAAACAAACAAAAAACAAAAACAAAAACCAATGGCTTATATTTACTGCACAGCAAAGAAAACCACTAACAGTGGAGACAACCTACAGAAGAGGAAAAAAGTTTTCCATCTGTTCCTCAAAGGACAAATTTCTAGAATATATAAAGAAAAAAAAATGGACCCCCCAAATTGAAAGACTCAATTAAAAAATTTGCATCTGAAATGAATGGGTACTTCTCAGATGAAGAAATACAGAAGGCCAAAAATTACATGAAAAAATGTCCAACATCCCTGGCCATTCGAGAGATGCAAATGAAAACACAGATTCCACCTCACCCCAGAGAGAACGGCTGCCAGGAAGAAATGAACCAGTAACGAATGCTGCGGGGCTGTGGGGAGAAAGGAGCCCCGCTCCACTGTCGGTGGGACTGTAAGCTTATACAACCACTATGGAAACCAGTATGGAGATTCCTCAAAACATCTGAAACTCCAAATTCCATTTGACCGTAGTGTTCCCTTTCGAAGTAACTTCCCATAGCTTCTCCGCCTTTTGGCTAAGACCAAGTGTAGTGACTTCCCAAAAGAGTTCAACACGTCATACCACGGTGATGTATGCACACCCGTGTTTATAGTAGCACAATTCATAACCGCTAAATCTTACAAACATGCTATATGCCCATCAACAGATAAATGGATTTAAAATGTATTTATACACACTGCAATGCTACTGTCATAAAGAAGGGTACACTTGAGGCATTTGTGGGAAAATCGATGCATCTCAAGACCACGTTAAGTGAAGTAAGTCAGACACAAGCTTAAATATCACATGGTTTCTCCTACATGAAAGACGATCTAAAGTATGAAACAAAAGACAGACGGGGGCGGGGATGTAGCTCAATGGTTCCTTGCAATCACAAGGTCCCAAGTTTGAACCCTGGTATAAAAAAATAAATAAACCAGACAATAGCAAAGAAAAAAAAAAATTAACCCAGTGCAAGCAAATGTACCTTGACTTGTTTTTATATGTTCTTTGGCCTATTCACCTGGTTTTCAATGCGTATATATAATCTTCTAAGGTCTTATGTTTTTATAAATGAATCCGATGCTGGAAGGGAACTGAAATGTTAAGTGTATGAACCAATCCCGTACAGTGCATGTAATCATTTCATACAGTAAACATCAGATACTAATAAAAGTGGAAACTTATTTTGCATTACAAAACAATGGCTTATATTTATATCAACGACAGTTTATCAGGGTTCTGTCACCTCGATAGGAGAAAAATTACATAAAACGCAGACGACTTTGAGACTTTCCTTTTAGACCCTCAATTCAGTGATCCTTGTTTCTTTCTTTTCTTGCTGGAGACTGAACCCAAGGCCTCAAGCATGCTGGGCCAACGCTTTCCTGAGCTAAGTCCCCAGACCTTCCTGTGTAACTCATGGACCCTATTCTGTCTGTCCCCATTTAGGGCGACTGATTAAACACCCTAACATGGGAAGGGGTCGGGGCGGCCGGTCTCCATTTGTGGCTTTTGATCCAGCTGTTGGAGCAGACTGCTGGACAGGCTGGGGATTGAACCCAGTCTTCACAGTGAGCTACACCTCCAGCCTTGAGTCTCACCAAGTTGTTAAACTGTCCATGCTGGGCCTGAACTTGTGACTGTCCTGCCTCAGCTTCCTCAAGTGCCAGGATCACAGGTGTGTGACACCATGCCTGGCAGGCCATGATTCTCTTGTCTCCTCTGTATTATTTTTCTGATTTACCTATGTCTGTGACAGCAAACAGCAGCCCACAGACTGAGCACCCCATCTTTCCTTCTCTCCATTTTCTTAGCACTTTTTGGTTGTGCTCTTCCTTTTCTCACTTATCAAGTCTCTTGACAGCAAGGACTTGGCACGACTTGCTTTCGAAGTTGGGTAAATGGGGAAGAATGCCCATCTTCTTCCAACAATCCCCAAACCGGAAACAGTTCCTAGCCGGACAGGGCTGGAAAAGCTCAACTGCAGCAAGGAAGCAGCCTCACCCCAAACGGGTTGCAGAGCGGTTCCGGGGCATGTGACAAGTCAAAGGCACCCACTCCCTCCCGCCCCTCTACCCCAACAAACGCCACCGGTCCGCGCCACCGCTCTTTCATGCACTTCTAACCCTGCGAAATGTGCACCTTATGTTCCACCAACACCGCCCCAGACAGCGCCTCACTGGACCCTTTGAAGTGTTTTGAAAAATAACTGCTCTACACACGCCGTATCCTTACCTGACTGGCACAGAGTAAAGGCTCACTCGGAAAAGGGGCAGGAAGAGACCCCTGGTGTCTGACTTCTGAAAGTGTCAAGATTTTCCAACCCTTTTAATACACACAGGACAGGTCACGAAAGGATCGAGGGGCTCACCAAGCACCGGTGGTGGGCTTCATTTCCATGGCTCTAAGTCAAGACTTAAAGGCCGGCCGCGTCCTATCGAGAGTGAATATCACACATCCTGTTTATACACAGAGCCTCCTGTCCACGGCTAGCCTGAGACACCCGCCCGAGACACCCTCTTCTCGCACCCCACCCCAGCTTCCTGCTCACCCCTCCGGCGCTGAGGCACCTCCTGGGACAAAATACTCTGTATTACAGTCACTTTTAAAGAAAATACTTTATTACATAGTGAAAAAAAGGTTTCAATCAACTAGATTCATACTTGTTTGGAATAAAAACAAACAAACTGAAAATTTATTAATTAGACAGCATGTGGACACCTTGCTCCACACGGGAAAGGGGAGATGCTATAGTTCTCTAAGTATTGCACCGTCTGGAAAAAACAAAAAACAACAAAAAACGGGGGAGTGAGGGGGGAAAAATCACATGATATTGGGAACCATCTCACATTATGAATAATCTACCAAGAAACACTTAAAAAAAAAAAGAAAACCCTTTGTTTCTACAGTAGCTTTGAGTTTATAGTTCTCGGAATGACTGTATCAATCGACATCGCAGTGACAGGAAGCACGTGTTAGCAACCCCTTGTGCAAATATTGATAAAAAAATATATAAAATAACGCAATTCATCTGTGGCCGTCCTCACCCCGGCGACCAGGACAGGCGCGGAGGGTCAGGCGGCCAGCTTGGCCTGCAGCTCCATCTCGGCAGCGCGCTTGAGCGCAACGTCCACCAGCAGCTGGAAGGCGCTGAAGTCCTGGTTGAGGTCGGGCGGCGTGGGCGGCGGCGTGTTGAACAGCCCGCTCTGCGACCGGCCCA